ACCATATGGGATGAGAACATAAGAACTGTCATTTACTGGGTCAGACTACAGGTCCATTTTGCCCAGTATCCTGTGTTCCATAGTGGCAGAGAGCGTATGCTAGAAGGGAGAGTGAACTGCGTCTGACCAGGGTTTTTTCCACCGTTCCCTTCCTACTTGCAGGCTCCAGAATTTAGGGTCTAAGAAGTTCTGATTCAGAGGCTGCATCTCTAAATCCCGTGCTTAATAGCTACTGATGCACTTTCCCGTTTTCAGCTAAACCTTGCTAGTTAAGCTGATGAAAAATGCCTGTAAACTGCTTTTGAGGTTGATACTATGACATGCATCCATTGTCCCACAGCCTTTCACTAGGTCTCCCAACTCTGGCAAAGTCATGCCTCTAATGAACAAGCTTTATAAATATAACTCTGACATTTCAGCAAGGTTCCTGCCTCTCCTTCAGTGTTTCAGTTGGTGTATTTGGGTAAAAGCAGGTCAAATGACTTCCTTATAGTGTCTGTTTAGTCAGTGGCACAGGGAGCCTTAGAACACACAACATGCCTGCTATAAAGGACCTCTAGTGCTAGAAGGAACTGGCACTCATAAACAAAGTTCTTTTCCATCCAGGGATTTAGAAAGTGCACTGAGTCAATTATGAGTCTTTGGACTTAAAACACCACTAGATCCTTGAATGCAACTCCTAAGTTTCCTCTTGATCATCTCTATCCCTTGCTGTGTGTCATCAAGGAGATGCTTCCTGCAAAAAAAAATTGGGGGCCTTTGAAAGCACCATGTAGTCAAATCAATAGTGTTTGGATCAGAAATTACCTTTATTTTTCTCAGCCGTGTATAAATCTCCAGGCACTTCATGAAGTTTTGCAGGACAAACAATACTGCTTTACTGGAAGTTTGCAGTGTAAAGTACAGTGCACTGCTGACCATTTCTGCATGTTTATTTTTAGCAGCACAGTCTCGAGAACTACGTTTCTTACATTGCTACGTATCACATGTATTTGGCAGGAGCGAGGGGTTTAATGGATAAAGAAATGGCTTTGTGGACTTTCGCTTAAACCTATGTGGCATCTGGCAGAAGTCCAGCCGACACTACAAGAGCTTCATTTAGTGGCTTCAGTTCAGTCCAATGGAGGTAGCCAGAAACCCCACTATGATAATACTCACAGTTATTTAGCGATCCAAGGAAACTGGGGAAAGACTTTAATGCAGTTCCTGCTTGAGGCCTGGACCATACCCATTTCTGGATCAAAAGCTTATTAGTGCATCAAAGATAAAGCAATAAGGAAGCTGCCAGATTACAGAGTCAAAGGAGGGTTTTTTTTTTTTACTGTTCTCAGTAAAGGAAGCTTCACAGCACAAATACCTAACACACCATCAAAACTGGAAAATAAAATTAAACTCCATGATAACCCGTCCCTAATTCTTTTATATAGGAATGTATCATGGTATCTATCATGGGTTAACATAACAACCCTGTAATCTGTTTACAGCTGCTGACAACTCCCAGAAATAAAACCTCACTACCATATTATACCATCTAGATAAAAGTAGGCAAACAAAGGAGAAATAAAGCTGGTTGGTTAGCACACAGATCAGAACTTGGTTTGGAGAGCTCTGCTCTGGTTTGGGGAGCCAGTTCTGTTTCCACACAAATACAACTACATAAAGAGTAACACACAGAAGTGGTAGTTCCCAGACAGACCCCTCTCTAAATCTGTCTCGCTGGTTCGATAGGCTTTTACTGCATTTGCTGATACCTAACTCTGGACCAGGCAAGCCTCATCATTCAGAGGAAGGTGTGCCTGAAGGAAGGAGGGAACCTCCTAGAAGTCTTAACTAAATGCAGTCGACTACAAGTTGTGCCAGCCTTCCCTTCCTGTATTGCGACCAACCTCCTAAACACCCTTCAAGTACAGCAAACATCTGCAACCCATTCAGTTTCCCTATGGACAGACTTTTCCTCTAAGTTCTGGATGATTCTAATGATAGGGTGGCTTTGGGCAACAAAGAACTGAAGGATTAAGTCCTGCTTAGTTAAGACAAGCATCAGATTTTAGCAATTACTGCAGTGACTGTTTGGTTTGAGGAATAAAATCTTAAGGTCCCAGTGCATGTGACAACTTCATACCTCCAAACCTGCCTGAAACTGTACAGATCAATGCAGCATTCCACTATCAATGATTAGACAAGGTAAAAGGATCAAAGAACCGACTACCTAAAAGAACATTACAGCTTGGGAAAGGGTCATTTATAGCCAGACTGATTATAAACCAGTGCCACTGACCTAACACCTAGCAGAATAAGCTGGTCTGTACAAAATCAGATTTTCCTCTTTTCTAAGCTAAATAAACTGAACTTTTCAAGTCTCCACTCCAAGGAAGGTTTTCTAGAGCTAGAATCACCCTGAGAGCTCTTTTTTGAAACTTCTCCAATATCTTGATGTTTGCTTTAGGACACAGTATTGCAGCAATGGTCTTACTAATATATTGTGCAGAAGCAATGTTGCCTCCCAACTTGCACTCAGTAATCCTCAGTTTATATGCCCAAGAGTTGTTAGCCCTCCTGTCCTAACATCACATCAGAAACCTGTGTTCCATTGCTTATCCACCATGTCCATCACCTTAAGGTCCCATCCAGATCTCAGGCTGCTGACTATTCTCAGATGAAATCACTTGGATGTCTATCATTTGCATCAGGAGGCTACCTCCTGGCCAGTTCCTAGTTTGAAGTAATTTTCTGCCATAGGAAGGACTAACATATGTGTGCCCATACTGAGTGCTTAAGGCAAAATAGATGAGATGGCTAATATAACCTGAACAGTTCTAGCCCAATGCATTTCAAACTCACTTCGACTAGGTGCAGGCAGTCTCAGCTTCAAAGCCTGATAAATCAGCCACTTGAAGGACAGTGAAGAGAAGGGCAGGGCCAACTCAGCTAAGCGAAGCATCTGCTTTATAAAACTGCAACCACCTGCCCTCAATAAAATGCTGAGTATACTGATCAGGTGGCAGTGACAGTCATAAGAAAAACCACAAGTAGCATAGGTTCTCAGACAAAGAATTGGGGCTAGAGAGGAAGATGTTTGTCAGTTGAAGGCTTTAATCCATTAGTCTGCTTCTATTATAAAGAAAAATCACTTCTGTATGCCTGTGATTCAGGCAGCTGAGTGCATGTCACGCGTACACAAAGATACCCAGTTCACTGCTGCCAGAGTACCTTACACCAGGCGAGGTGGTCCTGGACGCTGTCAATAGAGAGGGCTATCATTTTAACATTGCGCTTGCTGAACTCAGGTGCCAGCTTTGCTGCCCGGCCAAGCTCTGTTGTACAGACTGGGGTGAAGTCCCGGGGATGGGAGAAGAGAATGCCCCATCTAAAAGAGAACAGAGATGGAAAATGGCATTGAGATGAGTGAACCTCCTGATTAGAAACCAGTGTCAGATGTACTAAGAGAGCCATAGGTACCAAGGATATTGTAAGCTGCCTTACAGTTAAGTGAGCTTGTTTGGGGCCTGAAGTGCAGGGAGTTCGTAATGACCCTTTGGAGATTCAGAATGCTTTTCTGCTACCCTCTTGGTTTATTCTTATTTCTCCTGTCCTATCCCACACCTCACATAAACTTTGATGCCTCAGGCCAAGATGGCACATGATGCCAGGAAGGTTTCATTAACCAGAGAACTAAAGAGATAGGAGTGTCTCCAGGGTCTCCCAGTTCTTGCCCTCATCCTCTAAATGCATCACTCCATTTGTGTGTCAGTAGGAGTCACCATACACACAACAGGATTAATCCCTACAATAAAGTGTACCCCTATAGCTAACAACTTCCAAAATACTCGTTACTGAGTCACCTGAATGTAAAACACACTGCAGAAGTCTCTGCTATTTTACAATGTCATGGTTCACCTTACATTCATTTTCCACCTAGCTATGCCTCACTAGTGGAAACAGCTATTTATAGGCCACTGAGGCCACTATTCAAAAGGCAGCCATAGGTCTTACTCTTAGTCTTATTCTGTATGAGTATGTTGATTCACTATTTCCAGAAGTGTAATTTGTTAACAAGGTCAGAATTCAAATAAATGAGTTACCAGGGATACCATTAGTTAGCAGCTGGCATGTGATGATGCATCTACATTCCTTTGTGAGCAATGATTACAATCCTACCTTCACACATCATTTCTCAGTGGCTGACCTTACAGCACTTCACAAAGAGGGTCAATGCCATCGTAACTATGTCACTGATAGGGAAACTGAAGCCCAGAGAAGAAAAATGACTTGTCAAAGTCACTCTGCAAGCCACAAGCAGCATTGAGAATATATCCCTGTTCTCCTTGAGTCTCAACCTAGCATTCCATACACTAGGTTGTACCACCTGTCCAATATTAAGATAAGGAAAGGACAGTTTGCAAAGTGTGGCTTACTGGGAAATAGCCTACATAAGTGCTAGGTATTACAAAAAAGCCTTCACAGCAGCTGCATAACCAAAAAACCCTAGACTGAAACATGTACGCGGTGTTTACCACACAATATTTCTTCACCTCATGGTCAGATTGGTATGGACTATGGGGGATTTGCCTTCCTTTGTACTGGGAGTGTAGTTCTTTTCTTCGGATCTCTCAAATGTATTTTAACAGCCTTTGCAGCAGCAGAATGTTGACCACCATTGTCCCCCTGTTTACCTGTGACAGGTTAGGGCGTTATGTCTTGTGATCGTGTCAGGGTCGACTGTGTAGTTTTGCTAATAGATTAGACAATGGACAAACAAATAAAGGATGGTTTGGACAGGAACCATCCTGCCTTAGGCGGGGGGCTGGACTAGATAACCTCTGGAGGTCCCTTGCAGCTCAGCTTCTCCATGACTCCATAACTTCTCTTCCACCCCAGAGCTGAAATCTATTAGTTTAAAGTGGTTTATGCAAGCTCTTCTTTATTAGCTTTGGAAACAGTGAGTTTAATGATAAAACAAAAGTCTTTTCCTGGCTGTGCCAAAAAGATAAAACAAGTTAGTTACACTGTAGATCAACTAAACCTGAATTACTATGTAACTACTATTGCGGCCAATAAAGTTAGTGTACATTGTTTACTGATGGCTACAAAATTGATTTGTAGCACCATTTAAATATGAAAAAGGCAAATTGCTGGGAGAGGCAAGGCAGACAACGTGTCAAGTTTACTGAGAAGAAAGGATCCAGGGCAACTACTTCAAACTGGAAATAAACCTAAAATTGAGTTCCCTTTGCTTAATCTCAGCTGAGTCAGCCACACAGAACCATATGCCCTCAGGTGCTGTGGAGTCCAAGCAAAACACTTTTAAGGGGTTGTACCTGGACACTCAATGACAGATTTTGAAGTGAAGGGATCCAACCTTGCGGACCACAAGTCTATTCCCGAACAAGTAGACGGATACTTTGCCACCACAAGGGTATTAAAATGTCTTGACACTCACCTTTTATGCTAAGTGTGATCTTTAAAATCAGTCTAACTGTTGAGACTGAATCATAAAACAACATCCCAGCCTAGGTCACTTCAATCTCCAAGCTTGCTGTTAATTGAGCAAACACCCCTTCTCATGTCCTCAAATTTGGGCAAACTATTTCAGTGTGTAACTGTGAATCTCTGCTCAAGAGGGGGATCTCCATTTTTCCAAATGTAACTCTTCCCCTCTGCTTTAGTTAACTGCCTGCTTCAGTTCTACCATCAAGCCATTTTATAAAATGGGGACAGTGATACCTACCTGCTCTTGAAAGCACGGCGAGAACTACAGAGAAAGAGCTATGCACTAACAGACTGGGCTTGGTTTTGAGCAAGGAACCAAGTCACTCCAGCATAGCCCATCCTTGCACTAGGTCTTACACCCAACTTCATATAACACCTTGCAGGTATCTATTGACCTTCTGTCAAAAGAGGTCAAAGCACTATAACATACTAATGAATTGAGGCTCAGTGCTCTTGCAAGACAGGGGTGGAAACTCATACTTTGAGGAATTGATTCAAACTAAGATTTGGGAAGGGAATCCAGTTCCCAATCCCCTGCTATGCATGCTCAATCACTGGTGCCCAGCCTGTGCCCATGAAGACATCTGCAATATGCAGAATTTCTGGTACCTGATTAGAAAATAGGGTCCCTGAACCACGTGGTGACTCAGTACCCCCCGCTGCTATAAGGAGGAAATGAGAAGCACTGCTTCCCCTCCTGCTACCTGCTACTTCTGCTCCTAAACTGGGAGAAGACCCAGTAAGACACAGGAGCACTCTGGATAGCTGTTGTTCCTTTGGCTGCTTGCTGCAATGCTGACACAAAGAGAACAGCTCTGGTTCCCCAACTGCTTGCTCACGTATCAGCCAGCAGCTTATCACTGGAGCAGAGGATGGCTCCCCTTCTCAACACTTTCCCCTCTGGAGTGCTGCCCTGGATGAAAGGGGAGAGAAGTTGAGAATCACCAACCAGTCCCACCTGCCTGACATTCTGGCCCAGACCTGGTACATGTTAATGCAGCCTGAGGATTCAAGAATCCACAAGCCAGTTGGCGCCAGGCAGAAAACAGATTTTCTGCTCCCAAGCTGCCCCTGTGCTCATAGATGTGGAATGGCCTATAACACAGCTGTCCAGGTTAGCTGTTCACTGAAAGCTAATTCCCACATGCTGGGGAATCCTGGCAGGGCTGCTGCATGCACCAAAGCAATGGAAAAGGAGTAACAGAGAGGAGATCTGTCCTCAGACACCATAGAGCCTTCCTCCACCTTTTGTAATGATAGATTTGGCTATGCTGAAAGGGCAATACCACTGATTGCTCCCTCACAGGACAGACTATTCCAAGCAGCCCCACTCTGGGTGCTGCTGGGCTGGGTTTGTACTGTCATACTTGGCTTGTCAGGTTGTCTTGGACCAAAGAGCACAACAGCATTGTAAAGCCAGTTATCAGCACACAGGCATCTTCAGCCCGAATGAGTTGTGCACAGATATTACCACATCCTTCATCACCAGATCCAACATGTTTTCTTCTTGTAACCCACACACAATGGATTCTCCTGGAATGGCAGATTAATTGTAGCCCCTGTCCAAAGCACCAGCCTACACGCATGATGCTGGCAGCGACCTTCTTTTTGTTTACTCTCAAGTCTCTCCCAGCTTGATACTGCCAGATTGCCTTGGAAAATTACTGCATTTTAATGCCATGAGCCTGCTGTGTCATCCCTGACCTGTAAACAATTGTTTATTGAGATGCCCGTTAGTGCAATTTAAGCTAGACAAACATCATATAACAGATTATGGAACAAACTGGCACTGCTGATTCTTTTTCACTTCAGTCACATTGCTCTGTGGGCTGAGGCTGTATGTACAGAGTGCAAAGATTAATATTCTTGTGAATTTCCCCTTGGGAAGAGCCAGCTCTAGAAAGGCATATTCATTCCACAGTCCTTTCTCAAATTTGTTTACTCATCTTAAATAGCAAAAAAATGATACTTGAAATATCTTTTCTTTACCCTTTGGTCTGGAATGACTCATCAGTTTCATTAAAGCCGTAGGAAGCCCTATTCTTTCCAAATACTAAAATGGTGTATGCTAGAATGCACTATCCTTAGATACAGATACTGAAGGTGTGCCCAAGGCTTTGCATTTCAGACTAAAAGGGGTTCCCCCTCTGAGCATTAAGGAAGAAGACACAGGCTGAATAGTAAATATTTGTGCCTAGGATTTCAGGCTTCTTACCTACTGTACTTGTCATGTTTTATCTGGTAGTGTCCAGGAATAGGTCAGACTAGTGGTTCCTAATCCATGGGTAACCCACTGCCTACAAGACCCTGCTCCCTCCCCTTCACTCGACCCCATCATGTTGTTCATGATTCCAAGGAAATAAAGAGTTAAAATTCAGTTTGACAGGGAGTCCAAAGTAAGACACTGCACACAGTGCACTGTAGCTGCTCAACGTTGTTGCCCATGGGTCAGCAAGCATTGGGACAACTTATCTACGTTCTATGAACACTTCACCCATAGGGTACTTTATATGCACCGAGATGTACTGTAGATTGTGAAAATATTAACCTATTGCATCTCTCCTATGGAAACAAAATTCATGGAGCAGTCAGGGTCTTTAGTCTCTATGGTTAGCATCTGTCAGAAGCTGTGTAGAACTTAATGGAAATGGCCTTCAGAAATATCAAAAGATGCACCAAAAAATGTCTGTTTGACTCTTAACTTTCTGTTGCTGCACTTGGAAACTGAAAACCACAACAGAACTGTTTACTGTGTGAGGGCAGAAGAATGAGAAAGTGAAAATTGTAGCACTGTCATGATTTGGAGACATTAGAGGTCATGGCTATGCCCCCATTCTATTTTGTGGACTGGAACTTCATTTAAAAGAACACAGAAGA